GAGGCTATCTCTACAAAAGTGTGGTTTTGTGTAAGAAAATGTACAGTGAATCGACAGAACAGAGTGGATTTTGCGGTGTAGGTATTCCTCTTTCTACGAGGAATAACTCCTTTTTGCATAAGAGCTCTCGTGCAAAAAGTTGTGTGTGGACAGGAAGCGTTTTTTTTTTTTTGCACAAAAACAGCTTATTGAAAGAAGCACAGGTACTTTGGTGGCTATTCTGTGAATGGCAATCACAGCTTTCTTGCAAGACAGCGTCCATGCAGTCTGGATGCTCTCTTGCTCAAAAGCACATCGCTTTCCGATGCGCTTTTGCAGTGTGGACGCGCGCTTGCGCAAGAACGTTTTGCAGAAGATCTCTTCCACAGTAGGCCTTTGGAGAACCTTATCTCCCCCCTGCTGAAACTTCCTGAGAATGCTCCAAAAAGATTATCAGAAAGGCAGAAGTTTAGTCATGAGCTTTGGGCTTAAATTGCAGCAAGGGAGGTTTAGATTGGACATTAGGAAAAACTTCCTAACTGCCAGAGGGGTTAAACATTGGAATAAATTGCCAAGGGAGGTTGTGGAATCTCCATCATTGGAGATATTTAAGAGCAGGTTAGACACACACCTGTCAGGGATGATGTAGATGGTGCTTGATCCTGCCGTAGGGGTACAGGGTTGGACTCGAAGACCTCTTGAGGTCCCTCCAGTTCTCAGATTCTATAATTATCCCACTAGCTATTTTGGCCACAGGGTCACACAGGGATATCATCCGTAGCTAATTCTCCCATTGTGCCCCTAAACTGTGTTCAAGGTCATAGTGCTTCCCATCAGAGACCCCCAGCATCTAAGCATTGCCACATGTTTTGTTCTTAGATATAGACAACTGCATGGCTACACTAGAACACATTGTTAGCTTCAGCACTGGTGAGGCCATATCTGGAGTAGGCTCTGACTGTCAGAGAGAGGACAATGAACTAGATGAGCCAGAGGTCTGATTCAAGACACAATCTCTGTATTAGAAAGGAGACACGGTTTCCTGATGGACATAGAAATTATCATGCTGGGCAACGTTCCTTCTAATCTTTTCCATCCATGAGCAGATGTAGAAACAAAGAAACTTAGCTGTGGGCCCTGTGCTAATCAGCTGAGCGGCATTTGAATATTTCCTGAGTAGCCACCAAAGCACACAGCTTACAAAGAACACTGACCGGGCTTTTACATTCCGTTGAACAGAGTAGGCATGAAAAACACTGGAATCTTAGGTTGTCCTCTGCTGTTGCTTTCCTTGTTTCTTTTCCCAAGACACTTCTCTGCAAGCACTCAGCTTTGCCTAAGACATACGTTACAGACCTGAACTGAGAAGTATGAGCAGAGACATGTGTTAGCCACTCAGCTGTTTTTCCTTTTTACGACTCAAGTTTGCAGAAGACACAACATTGGGGGATAGCACATAATAAAGAGGGAAGGTTACAGATTGAGTGCAATCTGGATTTGTTCCTCAACTGATCTCATAGAATCAGGGTATGTCTACACTACCCTCCTAGTTCGAACTAGGAGGGTAGTGTAGACATACCCTGATTCTATGAGATCAGTTGAGGAACAAATCCAGATTGCACTCAATCTGTAACCTTCCCTCTTTATTATGTGCTATCCCCCAATGTTGTGTCTTCTGCAAACTTGAGTCGTAAAAAGGAAAAACAGCTGAGTGGCTAACACATGTCTCTGCTCATACTTCTCAGTTCAGGTCTGTAACGTATGTCTTAGGCAAAGCTGAGTGCTTGCAGAGAAGTGTCTTGGGAAAAGAAACAAGGAAAGCAACAGCAGAGGACAACCTAAGATTCCAGTGTTTTTCATGCCTACTCTGTTCAACGGAATGTAAAAGCCCGGTCAGTGTTCTTTGTAAGCTGTGTGCTTTGGTGGCTACTCAGGAAATATTCAAATGCCGCTCAGCTGATTAGCACAGGGCCCACAGCTAAGTTTCTTTGTTTCTACATCTGCTCATGGATGGAAAAGATTAGAAGGAACGTTGCCCAGCATGATAATTTCTATGTCCATCAGGAAACCGTGTCTCCTTTCTAATACAGAGATTGTGTCTTGAATCAGACCTCTGGCTCATCTAGTTCATTGTCCTCTCTCTGACAGTCAGAGCCTCAAGTGATTCAGAAGAAGGTGTAAGAAGCCTAGCGTTATGGGGACAGCGGCGTGATCTGACCGTCAGAAGGGCGGCTCGTTACCAACTAAGAATCATTGGTGCCTTGGAACCCATTAGCGCACAAGCTTTCCGAAAGAGGTACAGATTTTTTAGCTATATATATATATATATACTCACTGGAGCATTTCACTATCCTTCGAAGAGACCACTCTGTATCTAATTACTACTTGGCCCATGGTCTCAGCTACTTCTTCTGGCAATGAGTTCATTGGCTTCGATGAAGAAATCAGTCATCTTTTCTTTGTGTGTACTTGCCACATTTCAGTTTAACCGAGTAGCCTCTTGATTGTATGGTGTGAGGCCACATTCTCGACTGACACTCTACCAGTCAGTATTTTAAAGACTTTTCTCATATACCCACTAATTCATCTCCCGTGTAAGGCCAGTATCTCGGTTTTTTTCAATCTATTTCCCCATGAGAATTCCTGTTGCCCTTCATTGAATCTCTCCAGTACTGGATTTTTGTGGAACGGGAGGATTTCAATGAAGGGCAACAAGAATGATCAAAGAGCTAGGTCCCTCACCAAAGGCGCCTGTGTAAATTACATGGCCATAGGATAAGAGGGAAGGTCCTTTCTTGGATTGAGAAATGGTTAAAAGACAGGAAACAAAAAGTAGGAATAAATGGTAAATTTTCAAAAATGGAGAGTGGTAACTAGTGGTGTCCCTCAAGGATCAGTCCTGGGACCGATCCTTTTCAATTTATTCATAAATGATCTGGAGAAAGGGGTAAGCAGTGAGGTAGTAAAGTTTGCAGATGATACCAAATTGTTTAGGATAGTCAAGACAGAAGCAGACTGTGAGGGACTCCAAAAAGATCTCACCAAACTGAGTGACTGGGTAACAAAATGGCAAATGAGATTTAATGTGGATAAGTGTAAAGTAATGCACATCGGGAAAAATAACCCCAACTATACGTACAGTATGATGGGGGCTAATTTGGCTACGACAAATCAGGAAAGAGATCTTGGAGTTATCGTGGATAGTTCTCTGAAAACTTCCACACAGTGTGCAGCGGTGGTCAAAAAGGCAAATAGGATGCTAGGAATTATTAAGAAAGGGATAGAAAATAAGACACAAAATATCTTACTGCCCCTGTAGAAAACTATGATACGCCCACATCTTGAATACTGTGTACAGATGTGGTCTCCTCACCTCAAAAAAGATATTTTGGCCATGGAAAGGGTTCAGAAAAGGGCAACTAAAATGATTAGGGGTTTGGAACGGGTCCCATATGAGGAGAGGTTAAAGCGACTGGGACTTTTCAGTTTAGAAAAGAGGAAACTGAGGGGGGATATGATAGAGGTCTATAAAATCATGAGTGGTGTGGAAAGGGCATGTGAAGGGGCTGGCCCGCCCCGCACTGAACAGGGGGGCTGAAAGCCCACCTATTGGGTGGAATATGCTCCTCCCCCACAGCCCTGCTGGGCATGCTCGCAGTGCAGCCCCGGTATCAAAGGCTGCCGGGCTGCTCAGTTGGGGCTGGCCTCCGGGGAGGGAGGAGCTCCTGCCCAACCTCCAGAGCCACAGCCGGACCTGCTGCGGGAGCAAGAGCTGACGGGACCGCCGCCGTTGCTGCTTCTGTCCCCAGGTTGAGCACTCCTGCCACGCCGACTCCGGCGAGCCACCCGACCCTGCCAACATCATGGCTCCCCCCAGCCCAGCGTCTGCAGGTGGGGTCTCCACCGGCCACAGGGCGGGAGTAGGAAGCAACCCAGGACAAGGGGCAGGGAATCCCCTCGTGGGCTCGGTGCGTTTCGGGGAGAACTCCCCACCGAGCCAGTGGTGGGAACCACCCACCACTAATGGGGCCCTGGGTTGTGGTCTGGTGTAGAGGGAGGGCCTGGACCCCCTACCCCATCCACCCAGAGAATGGACTAGGCCACAGGGCCTGCATTGAAAGGGACCAGAACTTGGGGAGAAGAGGGAGGGACTGAGGATCCCGCCGCATGGCAGATAAAGAAAAGTTATTTATTAGTTCCCATTATAGAAGGACTAGAGGACACCAAATGAAATTAATGGGTAGCAGGTTTAAAACGAATAAAAGAAAGTTCTTCTTCATACAGCGTGTAGTCAACCTGTGGAACTCCTTGCCAGAGGAGGCTGTGAAGGCTAGGACTATAACAGAGTTTAAAGAGAAGCTAGATAATTTCATGGAGGCTAGGTCCATAAAAGGCTATTATCCAGGGGATAGAAAAGGTGCCCCTGGCCTCTGTTTGTCAGAGGCTGGAGAAGGATGGCAGGAGACAAATCGCTTGATCATTGTCTTCGGTCCACCCTCTCTGGGGCACCTGGTGTTGGCCACTGTTGGCAGACGGGCTACTGGGCTAGATGGACCCATGGTCTGACCCAGTACGACCGTTCTTATGTTCTAGGGGAATTCTCATGGGGAAAGACCACTTCCAGAGGAGGCATGCATCATTTTGCAGAGAGAGGTCCCTGCCCTGAGTCCGTACAGTTAACCTGGAACTTACTAAAACGTTTGAGGAGCTCAAGTTCTCTGCTCCAATGGCCATACATATTGCAGTTTCTCACACTGAGATCCATCTGTCATCATGGTGAAGAGTCACTTGGTGTGGTTAGAACCTTCTGAGGACTTCTCCGGGCTTGAACAAATGTAAATAATCCAGTGTTACCTGGGAATGTTTCCATCTCACTGTTCAGCCCTCTTTCTAGGTTGTTCATAACTATACATTGTTTACCATGCTCTTTGTTATGATTTGTGCCACCTACTTGATTGAACTTGTCTCCCTTCCCAGGCACCTTGAGCATTTCTGAGACTGATCCTCACTCTGACGACTGCATGGCAGCTCTCAACTTTACCGCCTTTGACTCTTCCACATTCCTCCTAATGGGCATCCCTGGCCTGGAAGCTTCTCACATCTGGATTTCCATTCCTTTCTTTATGTGCTATGTTATCAGCTTGTTGGGAAATCTAATGGTTCTTTTGATGATAGGCAAAGAGCAGACCCTGCACAAGCCGATGTACCTGCTGCTTTGCATGCTGGCATTGGCAGACATTGCCACTTCTACGTTCATCGTGCCGAAGGCCCTGAGCATATTTTGGTTCAGTTGGAAAGGCATTACTATGGCTGGATGCCTCACCCAGATGTTTTTCCTGAACATGGTTTTGGTTACACAATCGGCTGTCCTCATGGCAATGGCCTTTGATCGCTACGTGGCCATATGTATCCCTCTGAGATACACCATCATCCTCACCAATGCACAAATAGGGAAGGTGGGACTAGTGGGTTTGATAAGAGCTGTTCTCTTCATTCTGCCCATGCCCCTGCTCCTGGGTGGGCAGCCGTTCTGTGCCAGCCACCTTATCCCCCACACCTACTGTGAGAACATGGCTGTGGCAAAACTCTCTTGTGGTGACATCACAGTTATCAGGATACACACTTTGGTGGTAACAATTGTAATCATGGGGTTAGACCTGACACTCATTGCTCTGTCCTATGGTCTGATCCTCAGGGCTGTCTTCAGAATCTCCTCCAAAGAAGCCCACCTAAAATCCCTCAACACCTGTACAGCCCACCTCTGTGTGCTGCTGTTATATTGTACCCCCAGCCTCTTTTCCAACATGGCACACCGGTTTGGTCAGGGCATCGCTCCTCACATTCACATAGTGTTGGCCAATCTCTATCTCCTTGTTCCCTCCATGCTCAATCCCATCATCTATGGGGTAAAAACCAAAGAACTTCGAGACAAAGTCATCAAATACATTTGCAGTCTGTGATCCTATAGGGCCAATGACTTATAACCTCTGTGACAGAAAGGAAAAGCGTAGCTCTTTAATAATCAAGACAAAATACAGGACTATGTAGCACTTTTAAGACTAACAAGATGGTTTATTAGATGGTGAGCCCAAAGGTCATACCACACTAATACCAACCCTGGTACCTTCTCTTGCAACAAACCCCGTTGCCAGCTTTGTCCACATATTCATTCTGCTGATACCATTATTGGACCCAACCAAGTGAGTTATAAGATCAAGAACACATATTCCTGCGCATCCAGAAAGATAATTTATGCTATCCTGTGCCGAAAGTGTCCGTCTGCTTTGTACATTGGACAAACGCCTCAGACACTTCGCCAAAGTATCAATGCCCACAAAACAGATATTAGACAGGACCACAAAGAAAAAACAGTTTCTTGCCATTTCAACCAGAAAGGGCATTGTCTCAACAACTTAATCACCTGCATCCTGCTCCAAAAGCCTTTCAAATCCGCACTTGAAAGGGAATCCTCTGAACTGTCATTCATGCTAAAATTCGACACTCTACGCGTGAGTCTCAACAAAGACCCTGGGTATCTTACCCATTACAAAGATAGCTTCCCCAATTATCACCTCTAATACCATTAGCTCACAGACATTTACCTTCCCCCCGCCACACACATCCCCCTTCTGTTCTGAAATTTGATTTGTCCTTTTCATATGTGTTCATTTTTTTAACTGTATCCTTTGGTATATATGGTTGTGACAATTTTCTTCCACTATCAGATCAAAGGAAGTGGGTCTGGCCCACGAAAACTCATCACCTAATAAACCATCTTGCTAGTCTTTAAAGTGCTACATAGTCCTGTATTTTGTCTCAGCTACAACAGACTAACACGGCTACATTTCTATCACTATTTAATAATCAAGGTTTCTCTGTCACAGCGTGGTTGACCTCAGCATTGTGTGGGCTTAGAGTCTCCTGACAACCTCACTGATCTCTCCGTGGTTGAAATTCTGCTGTGCGCTCGACTTCTTTAACGGTCAGCTGCCAATCCTGCAAACGTAGGCCGTTCTACAGCTCCGAGGCTACCAGAACTTAGTGCTTAACTCAAGGTGTCTTTGCACTAGGCCATGTGCAAACAGCATTTTGGATCCATTTAACAAACCCAACTACACTTTCTGACTAACAAATAGAAAAGAAAGAAACTACAATGATGAACTCCTCATATGTACAGTAATCCAGTGAGCAATATTTACCTAATTTTCTTGTGTCCAATCCTTTAGGACACTTGAAAGATAAAGTATGCCCTGATTCACAATAATTCTGCACACGAAGTCAACAATGGTTACATATATCATCATGAGCTTTCGTGGGCAAATCTCACTTCTTCAGTCGAGTGCTATATAAAAATATGATTGTTGTTTCCCAATTCCTATGTTTTGGTCTACTTTAGGGTATGTTAATGCCTAATATGCCATTTTTTGTTTGAAATAACTTCCCACCCTTAATCAGAAGAGAAACACAAGCATGCACGTTATGATTTTGACCTTGATAGTCATCTCCTAAGTTGGCTGCTGATGTGCATTAGCTCCCTGCTGGGACTTGTAGCTTGTTTGTTTTGTAATGAGATCTGCATTAGGTACAGAAAGAACTTTGTCATTTATGTGAGGTACAGATCAATGTGTGAATAAAAATACTTTCTTTCAAAAAACAGAGTGGACTACTTTTAGGTGAGAGGTAAATGATTTTAGCATTATAAGGACTTGCTAAAGGATAACTTCAAGTGCAACATTGACATTGACAGATGGGAGACACTTGATCAGTATTGCTCAAACTGGAAAGAAGTTTTACATCCACTGAACAGCTGAAGAGGAGAAGAGGCACAGTACAGCGGCCTCACTAGGGAGCCAAGGCTGAACCAATAGGTTCAGAGCCAGGACACTTGACATCAGCCTTACCACAAATAACACAGCAGCCATCTACAATGAGTAGCTGAGGAGAGCAAGGTGAGGACATGGGCTGAGGGCCTAGCACAGGGAGACATCACCAGGGGAGACAGTCACAATGGCTGAACTCAGAAGGGGGGACATGAGTCTAATGAGTGGGCATATGCTAGGGAGAAGAGTCCTGAGACTTAGAACTGTAAGATATACAACAGGTCCCTTAGCTGTGGTATCACCTGAGCTCAGCCAGGGCCTTGGCAGGATGGCTGGGATGTGTGAGGAAAACAAAACAATGTAGAATCATAGAACAATAGAAATGGAAGGGACCTTAAGAGATCATTAAGTCCAGGCTCCTGCCCTTATGGCAGGACCAAGCACCATCTAGACCTCTAAAATATGGAAATTCCACAACCTCCGTAGGCAACTTATTCCAGAGTTTAACCACCCTGACAGATAGGAAGTTTTTCCTAATGTCCAACCTAACCCTCCCTTGCTGCAGTTTAAGCCCATTGCCTCTTGTTCTATCCTCAGAGGTCAGGGAGAACAATTTTTCTCCCTCCTCCTTCTAGCACCTTTTTAGGTACTTGAAAGCTGCTATCATGTCCCCTTTTCTTATCTAAACTAAACAAACAAACAACAACAAAAACCCAATTCTTTCAGTCTTCCCTCATAGGTCATGTTTTCTAGACCTTTCATCCTTTTTGTTGCTTTTCCTTACATCCTACACTCAAATATATTTATGTTGTCACTGTGCCCGCAGAGCTGGGTTCCTTGTTACCTTAATTTTCCCTTTTTTCCCATTTTTTTTCTTATAGGGTGTGTCTAGACTACAGTTTTGTCAACAAAAGTGGACTTTTGTCGACAAAACTATACCTGCGTCTACACTACTGCTGAGTTCTGTCGTCATAACGTCAACAGAACTCAGCAGTTTTGTCGACGCTGGTAAACCTCATTTTACGAGGCATAACGCCTTTTGTCGACAGAAGGTGTTATTGCATCTAGGGTTGTGTCTAGACTACAGGGTTTTGTCGACAAAGCAACTTGCTTTGTCGACAGAACTGGTCTAGACGCTCTTTGTCGACTGAAGCTTTGTCGACAGTATCTGTCGACAAACCTTCTGTCGACTAAAGCCTGTAGTCTAGACGTACCCATAGTTGCCATGTAAGAAATTATTCCTGGTTTGAAATGAATGTCGTGATTACTGAGTCAGGGAAGTCTCTGATGCGTAGAGAGTATTCCAGAGTATTCCAGAGTGGAGACACACACATCTCTGTCCTAAGCGACCATGTTGAGACTGGATGTTTTGCCACCCAGGAATTATGGACCCTCTTGTGTCCACTGTGATGGGGTGAAGTCACAGGAGACCCCTTGGAGGTACTTCCCAGAGTGTTGACATGACCACTGCCACTTGCCTTCCTGCTCTCTGGAGCTTCTCATTGCTCGGTCCTGCTGGGCCTGAATCTCTTCGGGTCCATGGGGAATGCAGTTTAGAGCCCAGCTTCCCAGGATACAACTCCCCAGATGGGATCGGAACCCCACATGGATTATTGAGGTAAACCCCCTTTAGAAAAAGGGGGGATGTGCACACTGATTCCCACCCCAACGTCCCAGACAACAGTTGTTTGCACGGGGGTTGATAGTAAATAAAAGTTCAAGCAGTACGATTTAAGTGGTTATACATGAGAACAGGCAGAGCAGAGTAGGTTACAAATTCAAAATAACAGAAAACGCTGAGCTAATTCTACATTGAAACCTCAGTACAAACTTATTACAGACTCATTACAAACTCACCCTAAAACTGTTTCTTTTCCAGTTAAGCCTCCAAACCAGGGCTGTTCCTCACCCTGGAAACTTTGGTTCCTTCCCTATGGTGGGCCAGCCAAAGACCAAATGCCCCTCCTATCCTATTGTTTTTAAAGATTCCCTTATTGCTTGGGAAGTCACGTACCCCGTCCCTACCAACGACTGCTAAGACTTAACGACAAAAGGCTATTTGCATATGATTGCACAGACATTGAGGCCTCCCAGCAGTGGAATCACCCTTGGTGGCTTTCCATTTACACATTTAAAAACGGAAAGCATTCCATGCTTCGTATGTCTACCTGTACACACAAGAACGATACATATATCAAAATAAGACAAGTAGATCCACTGGATTGTGACATGAGGACTGATAGCAATACTCCAGATGTGGCCTCGCCAGTGCCGAATAAAGGGGAATAATCACTTCCCTAGCTCTGCTGGAAATGCTCCTCCTAATGTAACCAATATCATAGAATCCTAGAATCCTAGGGCTGAAAGAAATCTCAGAAGGTCATCGAGTCCAGCCCCCTGACCAAAGCAGGACCAATCGCAACTCAATCATCCCAGTCAGGGCTTTGTCAACCAAGACTTAAAAACCTCTAAGGATGGAGATTCCACCACCTCTCTAGGAAATCCGTCCCAGTACTTTACCACTATCCTAGGGAAATAGTTTTTCTTAATATCCAACCTAGACCTCCCCAACTGCAACTTGAGAGCATTACTCCTTTTTCTGCCATCCATCACTACTGAGAACAACCTTTCTCCATCCTCTTTGGAACCTCCTTTCAGGAAGTTGAAGGCTGCTATCAAATCCCCCCTCACTCTTCTCTTCTGCAGACTAAATAAGCCCAAATCCCTCAACCTCTCCTCACAGGTCATGTGCCCCAGTCCCCTAATCATTGTCGTTGCCCTTTGCTATACCCTTTCCAGTGGGTCCACATCCTTTGTATAATAGGGGGCCCAGAACTAGACACAATACTCCAGAAGTGGCCTCACCAATGGCGAATAAAGGGGAATAATCACTTCTCTAGATCTACTGGAAATGCTTCTCCTAATGCACCCCAATATGACATTAGCCTTCTTGGCTACAAGGGCACACTATTGACTCCTATCCAGCTTCTCCAAGGCCATCTCCCTGGCCAACCCCTGGAGTCAGGGTCCCTAGGCTTTGGCACATTGTGTATCCTTCAGCCATAACCTCTTCTTGCCTGTACTAAAGCCCGGGGACAGGAGGTGGCTGGGTTCCATCGGTGGTCAGAAGCACCCTGGAG